CGTGCGGCCGCGCGCGCCACAGCGCGCGTGCGTGGCGGGCGCGCCCCCGCGGCTGCCCGGGCACGCGCGCGTGTGTGAGTGTGTGAGTGTGTGTGTGTGTGGCGCGTGTGCGCGCGTGTGCGCGCGCCCCTGTGCGAGCGCTGTGTCTCGGCGCCGCCTGCGCGCGGGGGGAGCCCGCTCCGCTCCGCTCCGCACCCACCGCCCCGGCCGCCGCCACTCCGACACCGACACCGCCGCCGCGCCGCGGGGAGGCTTCTTCATGGGCTGCCACCATGCTTGGGCCCTGGAGATTTCGGGCGAAGTAAGTACCGGGGTCGACTTTTCTCTCGCTCCCTTTTCCTCCTTCTCTTCCTCCCTTCCTCGCCCCCCCCCCACCCTTTCCCCACCGGGTCTTTGCTTGCTGTTGCTTTCCACTCCTTCCCCCGCCCCCCTCACTCCCCCGAAATCCATGTCTCCCAACTCGGGGTGCTGCTCAGTTGGGTGGCAGTGTCCGGCTGGGGCTGCTGGCTCGCTGCTGCTGTCGGCGGTACTGAAAGCTGCCTCCAGCCGGATATGCAGTGCGGTAAGCGAAGGGTTGAACTCTTCGGGGAAAAAAACCCACACACGCAAGAAAAATCCCGATGCAACCCCCTTCCTCTTCTCCCCTCCCCCCCGTCGCTCCCACCCCCACTTCCCCCCCCCTTCTCAATCTGAACCTCTGTTGGGAGCTGGCGAACAGCAGCACACAGTCACCACAGAGGGGTTTCCAGGGCGGGATTGAAACCTTGCATGTAGCCAGCTACAACTTTATTCTCTTTACCTCCCACCCCACCTTTTTTTTAATTTTTATTTTTGTGAGAGAGGCAGAAAGGAAGAAGGAAGGAAAATTGTATTTGCCTCCTTTTCTAACGATAATTGAATTAAAGTTGTAAAATGCCTGGGAGTTTAACACTGACCGGGCAGGTTTTCAATGGCTTGTCTTTTTTTTTCTTTTCTACGAAGAACTGTTGGTTAATGGATGAATGGATCTGATCAAACTGAGAAAGAATATGCTAGATACATGCCTTTGAGTAAGATTTCTGCTGCCTTTATGCAGTGAAGCCTTTTGCTTTGAGTAATTCTGATCCAGTTGACGTCTGGTCAGAATTAGAGAGAGATTCACTGAGACTTCCGATTTCTTGCTGCATGACTGCCTTTGCTGCAAGTGCTAGATTTGCAGCTGTGAACCTGATGCCACAGGAGATGTCTTGCAGTACTGAGACTTCTCATTTTTTAGGATATGTTCCTCCAAACCAGAGTTGTGTCATGAGGATTGGAGCTCTGAGGTGAACATTAGAAAATACAAGCCTCCTCCAAGATCCCAGCATTTAAGCCTGATGATTTATTAGTCTTCCCTTACCGACACACAAAATGCATCTATTTTCCCCATTCATATTGCTTTTAGACTAGTAGAAGAAAGCCACAAGGAGTCAGAAAGACTGCAAAAAGGAAAGGAAGGCATTTGTTTCCAGCTAGGTGAAATTCAGGCATTAAATTACTGACGTAGGTCAATGGTAGGGTTTCCCTTCCACCCTCCTTGGCTTTTAATCAGCCTGGGTATCTTCTCCCCTAAAGGATAAAGAGTACTGACAGCCATCGCTGCTTATAATCAGTAACTCTGATGCTTGGAGTGTTGGCAATGAGATATTTTCACCAGACCTATTTAGATCTCTCCACTTCTACCAGGCTAGTTTTGCAGAACATTGGGAATAAGCGCTATGTCAGATATGGATGAGACTCCGAAGATGATCTGCATGTTTTACATTTTTCACAAATTTTGGGTGAGTGGTTAAAATATTTCTTTTAAGAGTATGTGTGTGTGTGTGTGTGTGTGTGTGTGTATGTGAGAGAGAACTGAAGACTTCTGCTTGACATGAGCTCTGTTACATTGTGTATAACTTGAGGGGGGATCAAAAATCAGTTAAAATTATTTGCTTGTGTAAAGATACAAAATTTCTCTAATTGAAGAGAGCTGTTGAGTGCACTGAAGTAGGAGGTTAATGTATTTAATCTCATTGCAGAAGAATTCCTCCACAGAAGTCATCTGGGGGTGAGTGTGTGTGTGTGTGTGTGTGTGTGTGTGCATATCTGTGTGGGTGAGTGTGTGCTTTGTAAATGTATAGCTAGGAGTAAAAAACCCAACATAAAAGAGTTTTAAGAAATATGTGATGGGGAGAATGTGTCAGTATTCTCTCTGTTGAATTAAGCTGCCGTTTTCAGCACTGAATATTTTTCTTTGGATTCCTACCATGGTATTTCCACCAACGGTTAAAAATCAAGGTAGAAGGAGGGAAAGACCTTGGTGCGCTGTTCACTGGGGAGGTTCTGAAGGGAAGGGGGAGCTGGGTAATAGGGGAGGTGGGAAACCTCGTAAAATGGTGTTTCTTTTCTCTTAAATTAGAAACGTGAAACTGAACTGACAGCCATTTTATGTATATTTATGGGGCTGGTCATGAAAAAAATCCAAGGAAGCATTGAAATGCACCCCACACAAACAGAACCAGAACAATTCCTACTGTGACCTCACCGTTTTAAACACCGCAGGCATTTGACTCGCTAGGAGTTGCCTATCAACCCTTTAATCAATGCATGTCATCCAGTTTTCGAAAGTATGGGAATTAGAAGTGACAGGAGGTTTGGTTTTTTTGTTGATTAACAATCCATTCTCTACCCTAATGAAGACATACATAAACTTTGTTTCCATTTTAAATTTTACAGGGCTGTACTATTATGGTACTTTCTTTTTTTTCTCCTTATCCTTACAGGAAATAAAATGTATGCTTGCTGCTCTACAGTAACTTTGGAACAGGACCTCAACAAAAAAATGCATATCTGGATGCTGCAGACGATCGCATTTGCTTTAACATCGCTAGTCCTTTCGTGGGCAGAAAGCATCGAGTATTATGGGGAAATCTGTGATAATGCATGTCCTTGTGAGGAGAAGGACAGCATTTTAACAGTGAGCTGTGAAAACAGAGGGATCATCAGCCTTTTTGAGATCAGTCCACCAAGGTTCCCTGTGTACCACCTCTTGTTGTCTGGGAACCTTTTGAACAGGCTGTACCCAAACCAGTTTGTCAATTACACAGGGGCTTCAATTTTGCATCTGGGGAGCAATGACATACAAGACATCGAAACTGGGGCCTTTCATGGTCTGAGAGGTTTACGGAGGCTGCACTTGAACAATAACAAGTTGGAACTTCTACGGGATGACACTTTCCTTGGGCTAGAGAGTTTGGAATACCTACAGGTCGATTATAATTATATTAGCATCATTGAACCCAATGCCTTCAGCAAACTGCATTTGCTGCAGGTGCTGATTCTCAATGATAACCTCCTCTCCAGTTTGCCCAACAACCTTTTCCGTTTTGTGCCCTTAACTCACCTGGACCTGAGGGGTAACCGGCTGAAGCTGTTGCCCTATATGGGCCTCTTGCAGCACATGGATAAAGTGGTGGAGCTGCAGCTCGAGGAAAACCCCTGGAATTGCTCTTGTGAGTTGATTGCTCTAAAGGATTGGCTGGACAGTATCTCATACTCTGCTCTGGTGGGAGATGTAGTTTGCGAGACCCCTTTCCGCTTACATGGTCGAGACTTGGATGAAGTCTCCAAGCAGGAGCTTTGCCCCAGGAGGCTCATCTCTGATTATGAAATGAGACCTCAGACACCATTGAGCACCACAGGGTATTTCCACACAACCCCAGCCTCGGTCAACTCCGTGGCTACTTCTTCTTCAGCTGTTTACAAATCTCCCTTGAAGCCCCCCAAAGGGACCCGCCAACCCAACAAGCCAAGGGTGCGCCCCACCTCCCGCTTGCCCTCAAAAGACTTGGGATACAGCAACTATGGCCCCAGCATTGCCTACCAGACCAAATCCCCGGTGCCTTTGGAGTGCCCCACTGCCTGCACTTGCAACTTGCAGATTTCTGACCTGGGCCTCAATGTCAATTGTCAGGAGAGGAAGATTGAGAGCATTTCTGAACTGCAGCCCAAACCCTATAATCCTAAGAAGATGTATCTGACGGAAAACTACATTGCACTGGTCCGCAGGGCAGATTTTGTGGATGCCACCGGGCTGGATTTGCTACATCTGGGCAATAATCGGATCTCGGTCATTCAGGACCGGGCTTTTGGGGATTTAACTAATTTGCGAAGGCTGTACCTGAACGGGAACCGGATCGAGCGGCTGAGCCCAGAGCTGTTCTATGGGCTGCAAAGCCTGCAGTACCTCTTCCTGCAGTACAATGTCATCCGGGAGATAGAGGCAGGCACCTTTGAATCTGTCCCCAACCTTCAGCTCTTGTTTTTGAACAACAATCTGCTGAGGTCTTTGCCAGGGAACATTTTTTCTGGTCTGTCTCTCTACAGGCTGAGCCTGCGGAGCAACCACTTCTCCTACCTGCCAGTGAGCGGGGTGCTGGACCAGCTGAAATCCCTGCTGCAGATCGACCTGCACGAGAACCCTTGGGACTGCACCTGCGACGTGGTGGGCATGAAGCTGTGGCTGGAGCAGCTCAACACTGGTGTCCTGGTGGACCAGGTTATCTGCGAATCCCCTAAGAAGTTTGCCCAGAGTGACATGCGGGCCGTCCGGGCGGAGCTGCTGTGCCCCGACTACTCGGATATCGTCGTCTCCACGCCCACGCCGTCCCCGGGCCAGCTGCCGGCCAGGACCACCCCCTCCTCCTCCACCGTGCGCCTCAATGGCACGGCGGCGGCGGGCGGCTCCGCGCCCGCGGGCGGCGCCGGCGGCGGCAGCTCCTCGGTGCCGCTCTCGGTGCTGATCCTCAGCCTGCTGCTGGTCTTCATCATGTCCGTCTTCGTGGCGGCCGGGCTCTTCGTCCTGGTGATGAAGCGGCGCAAGAAGGGCCAGGGTGACCACGCCAGCGCCAACAACTCCGACGTGAGCTCCTTCAACATGCAGTACAGCGTCTACAGCGGCGGCCACCACCACCACCACCCCCACCTGCAGCAGCACCCGCCCCACCGCGGCGGCGGGGGTGGCGGCGGCGGGGGCGCGGCGCTGCCCAAGGTGAAGACCCCCGCCGGCCACGTCTACGAGTACATCCCGCACCCCCTGGGCCACATGTGCAAAAACCCCATCTACCGCTCCCGGGAGGGCAATTCGGGCGAGGATTACAAAGACCTTCAGGAGCTTAAGGTCACCTACAGCAGCCACCCCCTGTCGCCCGGGGGGGGCGCGCCGCCGCCCCCCCCGCCCCCCCCGCCGCCGGCGCCCGGCGGGGAGGACGCGCCCGGGCGCAGCCCCGCGTACAGCGTGAGCACCATCGAGCCGCGGGAGGAGCTGCTCTCCCCGGTGCAAGACGCCGATCGCTTTTACAGGGGCATTTTGGAGCCCGACAAACACTCCTCCTCCACGCTGGGCACTCCCGGCTCCACCCTCCCCGACTACCCCAAACTCCCTGCCGCCTACACCTACTCCCCTAACTATGACCTTAGGCGTGCCCACCAGTACTTGCACCCGGGGCCGGGGGACAGCAGGCTCCGGGAGACGGTGCTCTACAGCCCCCCGAGTACTGTCTATGTAGAGCCCAACAGGAATGAGTACCTGGAGCTAAAAGCAAAACTAAACGCAGAGCCGGACTACCTCGAAGTGCTGGAAAAACAGACCACATTCAGCCAGTTCTGAGAAACAGCCTCCCTCCCCGTCCCCTCGCCAGTCTCAGCAGCTCCTTCTCTAGAGTATTTGTATTTAACAACCACACGCAAAACAAAGAAACGTAAATGCTGACCTCTCACCTCGCCCCCCCCTTCTTTTTTCCCCCTTTAATGCATTTTATTGTAGGGTGAAGTGCCTTGGCACAGGACTTTTCAGCTTCGGGGAATGATTCTGAAAGGGTGTGCTGTTCAGTTTAGTTTATTCTTTTTTCTTTTACTGTATTTGGAAGTCAGAAACCACCTGTTTTGTAAAATGGGCACAACACTGGTGTTGTGCGGCTGTCTACGTGTGCTTGGGGAAGGTGGCAGGAGGTTCTTGTCGGGTCATGTTCAGGTCACAAGTACAAAAGTCACTATCACTATTTTTTATTATTATTTCTATTTTTTTTAACAGACATTCTTTATTTTGGGTTTCTTTCTGGTTGAAGAGTACAGCGCACATTTTCCCCTTTTAGCCATGGGTGAGTCTAAATGGCTTTTTTGGACAGATTAGCACACCCCGACTTTAATACAAGGTTTCCTTTTTTTAAGGATGTGTTTGTATACTTTCTGGACTTTTGAATTCAAAAATATATTATGATCTTTAAAAGGATCGCTGTAGATGTGGACAAATCATTAAAGAGTGCAGAGATATATGATCCATAACTGGTTAGTGAAAATAATTTATTGATGAGATATAAAAAAATATTTTATTGTAGCACCTATTTTTATATGCACATTAGCATTTCTCTTTCCTTCACTATTTTAGGGCCTAATCCTGCAAATTCTTAACTCACTTAAGTGTCTCTACTTGTGAAAGAAGTCCCAGCTTAGGCCTTCATCCTGCAGGCACTTAAGCACATGAACAACTTTACCGATGAGTGTAGTTTTCTAGACTCACTCATTGAGCAAAGTTAGTCAAAAGCTGAAAAAATTAGGATAGAGGATGCAGAACTATGTTTAAGTGATTTTGTTTTATTTTTTTTAAATTCAGGACAAGGTCCAAAGTCTCTGTATTCCTTTCAAGTATTGCACTACACTGAGAGCTTTTTTTCCAAATATGATGTAGAATCAAAAGGACCTTTTAAATCATTAGATATAATGCCAGTTATGACCAAATCTTAACAGACAATCTAAGACGTGAAATCCGATCACAATAGAAAAAAATCATGTTTCTATTTGAAAATATACCTTTTAGCAACCTCCCGCTTAGGAGTCTGGTTGGGCAAACTAGTGAGGGATATGTAGAAGGCATTCATTTTATCAGGAAAAAAAAAGTGTTTCATTTTTGATTTGTCAGTTTCAATTCTTTTTTCATTTTTGCTTTTGTATTAGTTAACCAAAATATAATGATTTTGCAACTGTTGTAGCCAGTGTCTGATTGTTTAGTCAAGTACAATTGCACTTGTACAGATCCACATGTTTACTGGCATCCTGAAAGACCAAATGGTGGACTGTACACGTCTATATAAAATGTCTTTCCCCTTTGGGCTGCAAGCAGTGGCAAGGATATTCATAAACACAGCATCACTGTAAGAGGGGACAACTGATATGTATCCCAGCACATGTGATTTTTTAATAGTTTCTGAATAAACACTTGGTAAATATTTCAAATGTAAGATCCTGAAGTAATGAGTATTTGAACTTTAAAATTTCTTGCCAAAATAATCTGGTTTTACATTGGATTCTCTTTACTAGCAATTATGGCTCATCAAAAAGATTTAATGTTTCTAGGCAAAACATAATGTGTTCTCTGTTTTCAAAATATGACGTGGTAATTACCAGCATACATAACATGGGTCAGAAACCAACATAGGGATATGTGATTCAACAACATATTGAATAGGATAGCTTTATATTCACATTTTGTCTCCTTACTGAAGTGTTCTTTAATATGTGGAATAGGGTAAGTCATATTTCACGTGGTTTTTTTCTTTCATTAGGTTATTATATTTTATATTGTTTGCAGAGTTGTTCCCTAGTAAATCTTTTATTGCAAAAGGGCTCTGTTCTATTCTGCTTTTCTTACCCATGTACAATCTGTCACTTTCTACAAAAACAAAGCTATATAACTGGTCTGTTGGAATTCAAGATAAATGTTTTCTTGGCATGTGTTCTCTCTATGCCACCCACATTGAGCAAAAGCAAAAAAAAAAAAGAAAAACCAACCAGCAGGCATGACTGTATTTAGTTTGGACAGTTTAGTACGTGGAGTGTTATTTCAGTTTGAAACACAGAGATGAGGAGTGTTCTTTTGTCACAAGAGACACAACACATGGCTATTCTGTTCACTGCTTGCCATCTCCTGCAGACTTCCTATGGACAGTAGTGAGAGATGTGTGTGTTGCTGCCTGAGGTGCAGTTTTGGAGCCCTAATTTTGAATTACTGCCTTTATAACTATTGCTGAAACCGGTGGTCTGGTTCTCCCATTTAAACTCAGTAGAGGCACACTGTTGTTAAATGGGTATAAGTAAGAAAATTTGCAGCCTTGCTGACTTTGTCAGAGAGAAGTTAACTCAGTAAGGATTGAATGAGAAGTTCCTGCAAACTTTGTCTGTTCATGTGCGTATATTTCTTTTCTGTATGATTCTAAACTCATAAATATGAGTTTGCATAGGTGTCAATACAAACATAGGATTAGGTCCTTAATGTGAAAGGTACATTTTGCATGGCATGCTGCCACAAAGAGGCAGCATCCACAAATGAGTAAATGAGCAGGAATTGCTTGATTTGCAATAGTTGACAGAAATGCCTTGGCATTCTGTTTATGCTTACATTCTGATGTTGCCTTTTCTGAGGTTAATATTACTGCTGCTTCCATGTGTACCACATGCATTTAATAACTGGTAATGAAGAATTTTTCTAATCATCTACATTGCAATCAGAACAATTAATTTAAATTTTTTCAGCTTCCTATCTTCAGTAGAAAAAAAATATTATTGCTTCCATTAATGGAGAAAAAAATTAAATTACATCAGTTACCTACAGAAAGTGCATTCTTGAAGATAAATCCTTAAAAAAGGATACAGAGTGAAAAATACTATTCTTTAGTCTGTTAACATCCTGAAGCATGTCTGAAAGGGCTATTTGTGAATGAGGACTTCAATGGAAGTAGAAATTCCCACGCAGTGGCTACAATGGTATATCCTCTTTGAATAATTATTGTAAGAAGGAGTAGACATAAGAAATAGGAAAGGAATAGACATAAACAAAGGTAGATGTGCCTCTGATTTGAAAATAGGATAATTTGTTTGAAGAAAAAACGTTTCTGTAAGAATATGGCCTTTGTTTTGTTAGCAAGATCAGTGAAACCTTCTACATGATGATCTGCTGAGTTAGTGCTGACCAAAGGGGTAATACTGCAAGACAAAAAAATCCACACTATTTTGAGAATTCAGTTATTATTTTATGTTGGTTATCAGACTGGTTTAGATTGATAATTAAAGTGACTTTTCCCCTCTTTATTTTTTGTCCTTTGACAAGTAATGTTGAGCATGCTGAATCACTCGTATGGCCTCACATTTTATTTCAAAAGTGCATGCAACTCTGTGATAAAAGAACAAAAAAAGGTGGAAGAGAATCCTGATTTCTCAGTGTAATTACTGGAAACAAAATGTAAATTGTGATAATATAAAACATATACATTTATTAGGAAAAAGAAATACTTTTTACCTTTTTTCCCATATCAAGCCAATTCAATGTCTTAAATGCAAATGGTGAGTTTAGGAGTGAGAACTTTTTCCTTTCCTTTTCCTTTCCCTTCCCTTTCCCTCCCCTCCCCCTCGTCCTCCCCCTCGTCCTCCCCCTCCCCCTTCCCCTCTCCCTTCCCCTTCCCCTCCCCCTTCCCCTTCCCCTCCCCCTTCCCCTACCCCTTCCCCTCCCCTTCCTCTCCCCTCCCCTCCTCTCCCCTCCCCTCCCTTCCCCTCCCCTCTCCTCTCCTTCAACTTCATCCCAGAAGATATACCCTGTGATTCCTAGACATTCTTACGCACTGCTTGAAACACCAGATTAAAAGTCTGATATAAATGCATCTTACACTTCTATAGTTCTAAACCCCACATTTTTACATTTTTTATATTTACCATCCACTATTTTAATGGTCACTTAAGGTTGTGAAAACACGTTCAATTGATTCTCTATACTGCAGTATTTAGTTTCTGAATGTTTTCCTGTGTTTTAGTTTTTTATAAAGCTTATATCTTAAGAGTATTCTTTTTAGAGACAATGGTACCTTTTTCACATAATAAGTTAATTATTAAAGTAATAAAAAAATGGTGAAATATCATAAAAGTGAGCTTATGACCCATGGTAAACACATTTTAGAAAATATATCTGGAAAGGCAGGAATAGGTAATTGTAGTTGTTTGAAAATATGAAGACAAGATCCTGGTTCTGTAGGTTCTTTAGACCTCTGTTTAGCTGGAGCTAAAATGTCTGACCAGCATGTTGTTTCTTACAGAAACTTGAGAGTCTGTTTAATGCATATGGTTCCCTCTCAGGAGGCAGAGTCCATTAAAGCACTATATCCTGAAGGACAGGGTAAACAAGAGCTCCTTCATTTTTAGAGGGCAGGTTCTTTATATTGCTCAGTGTCTCCAGGGAATCTGAATAGCCTTTCATTTGGTTAAAGACTGGCATACTGAAATGCAGCGTCTCCAAACCAGAGAAGGAGGCTGAAATCTTTTGCTGTCTTATGCAGAACTGAGAACACTACTGATGCTACTGGCATTAAACAAGAAGAATGGGGAGAGAAGGGAGAGTGAATGGCAGACACAATTCCATAGCTGTCAACCTTCAAACAGTCTTCACGTTTCTATTGATTATTTCATTGTAGGGAACTTGTACCTCCTCTCTGCAGCATCTACTTAACTCTGGAAAATGTAGGACCTGAAGCTAAGTAGTGACAAGAGGATGGAGGAGTAGATGAGTGAGGTCTTTCTGTGAGAGAAGACGGCAGGATGGCAGCCTTCTGAATGGGGCAGCCATATTATTTGTTTTTCCCAACCTTTCTAAGAAGCTTTGCAATGTCCTCTGATGAAATAAGGACACATAGATCTCCTTACAGTTCATCAATACTGCCTTACAGATTTGTGATTATCCATCTGTGTGTAAATACTATCCTAATATCACAAGTCTTTACAATGTTTTTTTTTTCCCCCTGTTCATTATTTAGCTACATTTCAGAGTAGCTAGCAGTATGATGATACTCCAGAAATGCTAAGCACAGTTATGCTTTAGAATAATTGTTTATTCTTAAAACACTGAACAGAACAGTTAGGACACAAAAAAAGAGGCACATTTAGGTACTAGGAACAAGAGGCAGTTAATTGAATAGTCAAAGAAGTAAAGTGTAATGAAGTTTGTAATTAAATGGCTATCAAATTAACTATTTAACTTACAGCTAATGGGCCACATTTTGCTTCTTGTTGTGTGAGTACAAAACTGGATTCCATTGACTTAAGGAAGTTACAAAACATTTACCTTGCTCTTAAGAGTTTGGCTTTTTGTCATTGAAATAAGCCATTCTCTTAGTATTTCTCTTTTGTAAAGTGAAAAATTCAAATACAGTAATGATAAACATTTGTAGTTCTGCTGTGTACTTAAAAAATGAATCACATCTATTTCCAGTCTGCTGACATATTAACTGAACATTGCTGTAGTATAGCACTGTAAAATTTATCTTGGACCCACATTGTCCTGATTATATGGGAAGTCCATATAATCCACGTGTATAGATGTGGTTCTTCAGAATGATGGACTTTATGAACAGACAGCATACCTCTATTTAATTCTGTGGACTTGGTCCTAAAACCTTGAATTAGATTAAATACCTATTCATAAAAATTATAACCTTTGTGGTGTTTTTGCCATGGAAGATGCAACTACTTTTACTGCAATTTTGCAGGCTTATATTTACAGTATTTTTAAATTTTGCAGTAAACTATAGACCATGTCAAACATAAATGATTTTTTCTGGTTGGATACATGATTACTATTGTATATCATGACATGGTTCTGGGTGACCTTCCAAAAAGGTCTAGAGTGGGATAAGATAAAAGGTTGAAATAATACTTGTCTAGTTCAGTATTTCATGTAATAAAACATTTTCTTCTCATGATTTCAACAGTATATCTGATTACATGAACATTAGATTATTGAAGTCTTCTGGTAATTTTGTACCAATACTGTGGCAAAAAGTTTACATTTGAGGATGGGGTCAAACAATGAGATTGCTTTTGTCAGAGACATCATATCAACTTTATCCAGAAATGCTTAGAGTAAAAGTACTAAATTAGATTCTTGAAATAAAACTTGGGAGGTGATAATCTGGTACAGTTTTTGAATTTCTGAAAACAGTGTTTAATTACCAAGTAGATTATTATTTTAACAATCTGTATTTTTTACCATCTGTATTTTAAAAAAGAAATATATATTCGTGTGTGTATATGTATGGAAGTATATGTGTACATATATATAAGTATGCAAATATATATGTATGCATACACTTAAAACTATCTATGTTTCTTTAATTAACATTGTCTTTACTGTGATGTAAGAATATTTCCATGTGAGTTTTGAAAGCGTTTAGGTTTGTAATGAAAAAAAGTTCTTCGTATAGCATATGTAGCTTATAAATGTTATATCCACGTAGTCACCAAAAAGTCAGTCTAGTTCTTCAACATTTCAACTTTTCTAGTATAGTAATATAAATTTGGGGTTGGAGTTGCTAGGAGCAAAAGTTCAGCTCAAATGCAGTTTGCAACTAGCTGAATATGCATTGAGGGGCATTAATATTCCTGTATTTTAAGCCTCTACCTTTTACATTTCATGTACCATCACATGGCTAAACTGGCCTGAACTTGACCTTGCTGTAGCTTCATTACCATAGCAAGTATTTTGTCCAGTCAAATGGATAAATAGACACATACCAAATGTATTTATGAATATGACAACAGTTCTTACAAAGGTCTCACTGTCAGATATCTGAATTTAGTTTTAAATTACTGAATTCATAACTGTGTTTAATTATGCAGTAATTACTACATGACAAAGATTTGTTCTCTTTCTAAATGCTGAACTTGGGTGAACTGGTCAGGTTTTTAGTTTCAGCTGTAATAAAGCTGGTAGTCCCAATGGCAGTTTTCTGCTAAAAATTAAAGCAGTGTTGTTCACAGCATTGGTACTCTTCAGCCATGATACAATTTTACAATTGTAATTTTTTTTAAAATATGGAAAATTAAACATTTTAAAAGCATTTTCAGGCTGGCAGTTTGCTAAATTGAATCGAATATATTATTAATTTTGTCTAAAATTTATTAATAATCCAATTAAAAATAGTTTTGACATAATTTTTTTAAGTCATTCATACAAGTCTTTATAAGTGATGTAATGATGTGTTTGCATGAATTTATGTGTAGATACATACGGTACTGCACATTCAGTTAGGTGGTTATTTGGTAATTTATAGCAAACCCAAAAGTGTAGGTTACAATATGCTTCACATTAAGCTCAAAATTCAAGAATATGTCCATTTTTCTGTTTGCAAATTTATAAGAAATGCCTACATTGACATCAAAGAACTTGAACCACATACTTTCAAAGAATGAATATTCTGCTGAATCATTTATTCTTAAATATAAATATCTTCCTTTAGTTATGATGAAAAGTGCATCAAAGGAAAAATTGGCTAATCAATGTATTTGATGTTTTTGAAGTGAATGAAAATCCTGCAATTGATTTTGGTTTTTGAAAGTATGGAATGTCTTTACACTTATGTTTTTATCTCTTCCTGTTAGAGACTGTTTATTAGCCTACCATGCATAAGGAAAATCCCTGCTACAAAGGTGTTTCAAATCTCAAATGGCAATAACATGACTATCGGTTACAGCTTTGGCTGTTTCTTAAGGTTGTTTTATTTTTATAGTAATTAAATTATGCTTGTCTTTTAAGGGTGGATATTTTTGTTTATTCCATCCAAACAGCATGCAATGTAGTCCATACTGGTCATGGAAATGATTTAAAACCACTACATACTGATGGATTCTTAAAGTTTATAACATTAATGTTTAAAAAATTCTAACTCTTTGAAATGGAGTTAACAGTTACACATTTTCTGTTTTAATTTTGTTTCCTTGTCATTCTTTTTTTCCCACACATTACTGAATCATACTGCCTGTCTTTGCTTTGAAGGCTGCTTTTTATTTTATTTTGAGTACAGAGCAGGCATCTAAGCTATTTTCTTCAATGTGTTTATTTCTGTTAAAGAAAAATATGATAGTCTTTTAGATAGTTGATGATTTTATGAGCAGAATTAGATGGTGTACATTTCTCCCCTCCTTTCTCCATTCTTACACTGTGAGGCAGTGAAGAGGTGTGTTTGGTTTTGTAGCTCTGATAGCTGGTGTAAAACCTTAAGTAAAATCTTTATCAATGTCAAAGGAAATTATGTTTTAGGTAGGGATTTTTAAAAAAGTTCTATCTATAGCATCATTCAGGTAAACTTGTAACACAAATACCTACTCACATAAACATGTAGGTGATTCTGGAGCACCAGACAGTTAATTTTTTTTTTTTTGTGGATAATTTTTTAAAATGCACCTTGTCTTAAAAAGAGGAACTCTCTTATAATTAGGCAGTGCTTATGTAATGAAGCTTTTCATCATAGTAATTTAAATGGTAAAATGAACTCGTTATTGACAATTTCTGATCAGGTTTGAAGTGTTTGGTTTTTTCCTTTTTGGCATGACTGGTACTAGCTACCAACAAATAAGTGGCAACATACCATAATATGTTGAACAGTAGGATCTGTTAGGTTCATTGTGCAATATATTACTTAATAAGTTTTAAATTGTAGAAGTCTACTAATACATATTGTACTTACTTGTATGTTAATTCTTCCTTAAGAATACTTTTTCCTAAAGAATAAGAAGTTGCTACTCTTTTGAGAAAAGTTTTTCTATAAATAAAAAAAGTGGTTAAGATAATGGTTCTAAATTCACCAATTTTTAGAAATATAATTGAATGTATTTATGATGGTTAATATTTTTTCATCCATACATAATTTTATACAATGAATGTATTCTATAATTTTCAGTATATTTTATATACTGAATGCTGTCTGTAATTAAATATTTCTTAGGAGTTGTTGGATTACTAAAAGGTTTTGTTAGATTTGGTTAGGATCAGAGCTTTAATTGTGGAGAAAAAAAAAATCCCATCTCATCAATTTGTCTTCATACTATTTATCTTATGAAAAATTGTCCAAATGACTCAGATTGATTTTTTCATGTCAAAATAAGTATTAATTTTACCTCACAATCTGTTTTAATGTTTCAGTATTACTATCTGCTCTATGTAATCATCTATGGTGAAATAACAAAAATTCCCAGCTTTGGCCTGATGAATACTATGTAATTTTAATTTACAGTTACATAGTGAAACTGTTTTCTTTTATATTTGTCTTATACATGGGTACCCTTACCTCCAGCTCTGTGTGTTGATGTAAGGCCTCACAAATGTTCATTTAATCATTAAAACTCAATATTATTTTACAACCGTAAGAGAAAGACAATTTAACACAGCAATGAAGACAAAATTTCCAAGATAGATTTTGGTTCTCTGACTACTTCCACATGTGGATAATTTGATTGATGAAAGTAGTCTCACCAGATTCAGTCAGAATTTTTTGTGTAACATACCTTTATGTTTGGAGTTTGATTTTAAATGTATGTCTAACACATACAGGCTTACTTCAGTCCTTAGACTGAGTTCTGATTTGTCTGGTGGAGAAATGTGTGTTTCTGAACATAGTAGGATAATATTACTGTTACCAAAGTATTTTCTTCCTCTTAAAAGAGTATGTTTTGATATTACTCATGTAGACCATATACAATTAGTTGTGTGTATCAGAAAGCATTGTGATATATTCAGAAACACCTGAGGACCTTGAAATCTAAAACTGGTTCAGTTTCTGAAATGCTTCATTTTTGTTTTCCTATATTTTGTTTTCAACTGAAAAGGTTACTCCTCATAATTTTTAAGCTGAGTGGCAAAAAGGTACTGGGAGGGTTAAAGGAATATTTTTATTTATTCAGAGATTTGAACTATAAAGCCATATATAGAATATAAGTTCTTATAGGTTCTGAATGTCTTCATTTTGTCTTGTCTTCTAAAACAAGGCTTAGGATGTTTTGGTTTTTTTTTTATTAGAATAGTATTGCAGTATTTGAATGAAATATAAAGATGTTAAATAGCTGTCATTCAAACTCTTCAATAAGAATTGTTGTTTTTATTGTTGTTGTTTTTCTCCTCAAGCTCAGAAAAATCAGGTCATGTTTATTTTTGGGACCTACAGGGTTTTTAGGAGGTGAGTGAACAATTGGTAAGAGGCCTTTCCCCTCTTTGTGTTACAGCAAGTTAAATGACCCCACTGATTAAATAGGAGCCCTTTTTAGTGAATTCATATTTGGGAATATGGTCAATATATATTTATTTCTGCATTTTAATACCGAAAAGATTAACATTGTCAAAATTGTTTATTAATACTGAAAAGGAAGTAGTTATTCTCAGGGCAGAGACTCTGAAAGCAAGTATTCTTTTTACCAGAAGTTAAATCAAAGATTTTAATTTAACTGTCCAAATGAAGAGATGCAAAAGTAAAAGTATACAGAACATAGAGTATTTAATACTTAGAATATTACTAATTCTTAAATTTGTAAGCATTCTTTTTATGTACAACTTTCCAACTCTTCATATGAGGTTCTTACACATAAAGGATGTTTTAGCTATAGTTAGGGCAGCACAGTCAGAAGAGAGGCAGGTATTTTGATCTATCTTATTTTATATAATCCTAGAAAAAATTCATTTTGGTTGGCTTATTTTATTTTTTTCATTACATAGGCATCAAAATTCTTCATGTCAAATTTGGAAATTATGATGTCACAAAATGTCTCAGAGCCTGGGCAAATAATAGTTCAGTAGCAGCATTAAAATTGCTACAGCAAAGTGAAATTTGAAATTAAGATATGATGTTCTGTGACCATGGGAGATATTTGTGAGAGTGCTTTGTTGACAACTAATTGATAATTATGGTGTGTATTCTAACACCTTTCTTCCCAAAGGATCCTAAAGTGCCTTACAAAATTAGGGCCTGTTCCTGCCCTGATTGAAGTCAATGGGAGCACTGCCAATGGGAACAGCACTGGGCACTTAAGAAGCTAATAAAAGCTGCATTCAAACATCACTTCTGCCACTGAAATGTGAAACTGTTCAATTTACACAGCAATACTC